TGAGAGATACAGCAGGAGAACACAATGTCCACCGCGGAGAATAAACAGAAGGGCAACCATAGCAACCATGCTCCGGGGTCTTCTTCGCTGCTTTTGGTGTATTTCGGGCGGCAGCAGCGCCACTTACAGGCCTGACATATGTACTACATCGTTTCCAGCATTTCCAGCGGTCTAGTGTGAACGGACACGTTAATGAATCGAATGCGTGTGAACGGAAGCCTTTTTTTGCGCTTGCGTATGCGTTTTACCGTATGCGTCCTTGTGGGGCCGGGGTCTAAGCCAAACTATATCCGGTCACAGAGATCTGCTATTTTAAAGTAAAGTCAACACATATAGACCCTAAATATAGTCTATATTAAGAACGAGAAAAGTCTTAACATATATATCCTTTTTTGTAAACATATGACAAATGTGTGAGGGTGATGACGTCAGAGCATCGTCCTATGTGCCAGGGCTTAGCCCCGGACAGCCCCAGCCCAATTTAACCCCTGGGTATTTGTGAGGGAGCTCCTATATGGCATTACCCCGCTGAAGCTCACCAACTTTTAACATATTTCATAGTTCAAAGTTTTGTCAATTGTTTTGTTTATTGGTCAAATACTGGTTTCTAATGGTCTCTGAGGAGTTTTACTGGAATGAAAGAGCACAGAGTCTACAGAAGCAAAAAAGCAGCATACTGCATTAAACCTGACCTTCACAGAGAGGTTGAAGTTCATGTGGAAAGGAGGCTTCAGTAGTCTGTCTGCACTCTGTTTAGTTTTGCTATCTTACAATCAATATAGTAAAGTGTGTTGCCAATGTAACCGGTTAGAACTCAAAGTTGCAATGAGGTCTTCAAATGTATAGAAAGGGTCTTAAAAAAGGTCTTAAAAGGTATTACATTTGACTTCAGGATTCCTGCATATACCCTGTATAGGTGCTTCATTATTTTAAATGCTTTATATTTTACTTCTGAATATAAATACTTTTTTTAAATATCACATTTATTGTCAACACGTGTGTACATTGCGACTCCTATATTCTATATGTAAGCACAAATCAATGGGGGAATTTGACAATGAAACCATGCACACAAAAGTCGGGTAGGCAGCCCATGAAATGATGTGGTGATGATATTATCATTATAACTTATTTAATATCAAGACTTCTTCACAATACTTTGCAATAGTAGTTGTGTGCAGTATTGCTGTGGATGGCATCTGTTTCAGATTAGTGTAATCTTGTGTAATTACTCCCATACCCTATAGTGACAGATTTATGCTTCACCAGCGAGGGGATCCATCACTCCCACCAAAGATAACTCCAAACTGATTTATCGTTCAGTCTATATTTGACCCTTTTTATCGTCGTAGATTCTTAGGTCATGGCTTTCATTTATTACCAGCGTGTTCATACACTTTCATTCAGTTTGTGCTAGAGAGCAAAGAATCAGAATCGGTAATATTCAGGGTTCGTACGGGTGCTGGAAATCCTTGGTGGTTTCAAGGTTTGAAAAGTGCTTGAATTTTGGGAATGGTGCTTGAATTTGGGATAAAGTGCTTGAAATTGTAAATGCTTTACTTCACTTCTTAGATTAAAAGAAAATAAAGAAGTCGGACCTGCAAGTGTTTTTGTTACGTGTGACCTGGGCATTCTGATGAGTGATAGATGACAGTGTGCCAGGAGGTTGCCGTTTCAATGAGCGTTGGCTATCAGAAGACAAATACAAGCCATGGCTAAGACGAGGGTCAAGCCCACGAGTAGCCTCCTGAAAAGTGTGAAACAAATAATTTCAGTTATTCACGATGGAAGAGTCTGCGCTGACGAGCCACATGAAAGGTAGTAGTAGGACATTTTGGATTAGGCTAACGTTGCATGTTACATTTGTGTAAGCTAACGTTAGCAAGCTGAATAGCGAACTCGATGAGGGATAATAATAATAATAATAATTGCAGGGGACAATCATTTCAGAGGAGCGTACCTATGTTAATTTGTGCGTTATAGTCGCCATCCTGTGGTGTTCAGAGGATGAAGCCCTCACTGTTGTAATTCAACCCAGTCTCACGGTATTTCGTGTTATAGTCACGAAATATAATCTATTTATTCGACACAAAGCGATTTTAAAAGCAATGTATTTCTACTGGTAGTATGTTTTCGTGCCTAAACCAAATGTGACTTGCTCTATCGAAATCAGTCACATTGACCCGAAGACACATTTTCGTTTGTATTACTGGTCTGGGGGAAGCCGGACAGAGAAACCCTGGGTTGATTGACTGAGTTGATAACCAGCGTCGTAGGACCGCTTAGCGAGATCTCGTTTGTTAGGATTAGTTAAGATAACTCAAACATATCCAGGGTATGTTGAACTGGCTTCGTAGTACAGTTTACTGGTGGCTGCATAGCAGCGCTAATGTCAAAGACGCAAACATTATACATTATATTTTAATTTGACCAGGATGCAGTGACAAAAATATTTGGGAAGGCTTAGCCTTCCCTTGCCTACAGTACCCGCCGCCCCTGTGTATTGTGTTTGTGTACCGGGGAAACACTCACAAGAAACACCGGCTGTTGTTATGCTTCTAGTATTTACATGTTACGATTATCCAGAAAAGCCTGGTTTGGATACTTTACGGGCTGAAGAAACATTTCTATTAAAGAAATAATTATGCATTTCTGTCTTTTTATGCCTATAATAGCTAATAACTTGTCTAAATATGATATTTGGCCTCGAATCATCTGAGGCCTGGCGCCTCCCCTGCGATCTTTGTTATTTTAGCAGATCAGAGTTCGGTTGTTTAGTTCCCTTAAGAGGTCTCGGACTGTGTTCACACCGACCCAAACGAACTGCACCAGCAGCTAAACGCACCAGGGTTCGATTCAACCGGACTAAAAGGGGTGGTAAGGTTCGCAAAAAAAAGTTCTAGTTCCAGATCTTTTTGGTGTGAATGCAAAATCCCAGGAACTATTGGAACTATTCCTGGGAAAAGTACTCCGGTGTGAAAGCGCCTCATGACATTTTAATTTAAATGATAATGCTGTCACAGCTTAGTGCGATCATTGCTTCACAAACATACACAAGCAAACACACACATACTGTATGGTAGCCGCCCCCCGGGGAGAGGCCAGATGCTCCCCCATCGATGCAGGCAGGTCAATGCTGCTCGGCATGCTGGGAGCTCACACTGTCATCCACCCTGCACTTACCAACGGCACTTTATATTCACACACTCTCAGACATGTGGCTGAACACACACACGGGAGAATGCAGCATCTCTTGCTTCTCAGTATGTGCTGATGAAGGCGTGGGAGGCTGTGGCTCAGTGGGTTAGTGCGCTGATCTTCGTATCAGGATAGCAAGCATGTCCTTGGGCAAGACACTTCACCCCAAATTGCTCCAGTGGGGATTGCCCACAGTACTGAATGTATGTAAGTCGATTTGGATAAAAGCGTCTAACAAGTGTAATGTAATGTAATATTACGGTGCTTCTGGAAAACATTACACTCGGAACGCAAACTGAGAAATTATCTTTGCATACCAGCCCTCCAGGCAGATGGTGTTGTCAAATCACGTCTGTTAAAGATGAGTGAGCAAAGCGAGCACAAACATGCTACCTCTCACATGTTGGATGACGTCACTGCTGATCACTGCTGATCACTGCTCCCTGATTAATTAAATAGTTGTGTGCTGCCCTTGGTTCACTTTGCATTTATATATCTGTTTTTGGCATTGATGAAGTGTTTTCATTTTCTACGATATTTGCAAATTGTTTAATTTTGTTATGAATTGTTACAGCTTTCTATTAAATGTCTTGTTTAGTTAGTCAAAATCCCTAAGATGTTCAGTGTAATATGTTTATCAAACAGAACAGAAGGAAATATTTTTATCTTAGGAATAAAACAGCCTTTTCTGTCCACTTATCGCTGCAGCCCTATTTATAAATGCACTCTGGTCTGTCAATTCAATTTGAACCTAATGGCAAGAAAGTGGAAAATGTATACAATATCAGGGAGTGATATAAAAAGTATTGAAAGTCAGAAGAATGCCAACAATTGAATCAGCAGAGAGTCCTCAGAAGAGAGTCATAAAGTAATACAAATGAGAGATATAGGGAAATAACATTTTTAAAACGTTTTAAAACAGTTGTTCAGGGCAAATCGTCAATAACTATTTTACATCAAACGTTGATAATGCCATTACCCTAAATCCATAAATGGTTAAATGTATGTTTTCTATGTTCTCTAAACCCCTCCCCATGCACACATGAACTCTTTGGAACCTCAGAGAGCGTCAAGACAATGAGATCGCCCAGGAGATTCAGGAAGAACTGGTCCGACAGGCCGAGCAGCAGCTGAAGCAGGAAGAGAAGGATGCGGTAAGAAACACGCACACACAAACTGACATCTCTGCACAATGTTGGGAACATCTACCCCACCCGTCTGTCATTACTCTGAGTATAGGTGTACTGTACAGGGTGGGTCATTCCACTGAATCATCACTTTGTGTCTCCCCATTGTAATAAAGGTTACAGTGATCTGACCTGTATTTAAGATGAATAACAATGGTTGCGCCCTACATGAAAAGCAGAGATTCAAGTATATCCCAATTTAAATGTTTCTTCATGATAGTGTAGATACAGGTGTGTTGTCTTTTTTTAAATAAAATAGTTTCAGACTTTCTACAAATCTTTATTCAGGAAGTAGTTTTACAAAAGGTATTTTTTCAGTTACCTAAAACTCAGTTTACGTGTGGACAAAAGGCCAAAACACATACAAACAAATACATGTATACAGTAGACGTGGACTCGTAGATGTTCTGTTAATCTTTCAAAATATCTCAAATGCCCCTGATTATTTAGTTGTCCTGTTAAGTTTAAGGAGTGGTGGTTCCCATTGCTTCATAGTTCTGTTCAAATGTCAGTATTTTGGACTGATTATGGCACAAACATCACCTCACCACTGTAAACCTATATGCTTGAAGCTACTCTGACTTCAAAGACTACTACCCAAAACAAAGTGACATATTTGTTACAGCTCAGCCCAAACATGGAGTTTCATATTCACGTGGGACGTCTCGTTTACTGTGGCTTTGTTTGTTTGTAGGCCATAGCTCGTAAGCTGCAGGAGAAGGAGATGAAAGAGGAAAGGAGGAGACAGAAGCAGATGGAATCAAACCTTGAGGAGGAGTACTTTGAGGATCATGGAGGTAGGCAGAGAATCACTGACTCAAGCTTATTATGTGGCTGTTACTGCGTCGCCTGTCTTAAGGACCTGAGAGAAGATGTACCTCCGCCTCTGGCAATTCACTTTTCTTTCCAGGTCAGGATCGGTAATGGTTTGCCTTTGATGCTCCACAGAGCGGGAGACTGTGGCATGCTCGAAGCAAAGATTTTGGAATACATTTATGAGCTCATAATGAACCTTGAAGGCAGGATTATATGTTCCTACAGAGAATTATTTTTTACTCCCATTCAAAAGGAAACACTGCTGTTAAGGGTTTCAACAGTGCTCCAGTTTTATGATGCTGCTTGAATTTGCTTTGAAGACAGATTGAAGCTCAGATATAAAATGAATCTGTGGGTAATGATTGTATGAGGAAAAACATTAGGATGTACCATCTAATGATGCATACCCACACATTGTATCTGTCCTCCTTCTTTAACATTGGAGAGCATTCCTCTGCGTAATTCATCCTTTTGTATTGTCTGTTACCGAAAGAGAAACAGCAGCTAATTAAAATGCTTCTAATTCCTTCTGATTTCCCTGTTAAGTAACCCTGAGGATTGACCTACAATCTGGGTTCAATGCAGGATGTTAAAGCATAAAGGAGGTTCAGCATTAAAACGGTTGCTGCCGCTGATATGTCGCCGCAATCTGACAGCAGTTTGTCTAAGGTCTGAATGCAGTTATTTTGAGGCTAATGTTTGATCGTGAGTATAGGAGGGAAAGTTATTTCATATAAACTCATGAAAGTTAGCTCTTTAGCTGCAGTGTTGTCAGCCTGTGGATCTAATCTGGCTCATTGTCTGCCTGAACCCTTTACTGGGATTTTGTTTACATTTAGCATAACACCAAAAAAAAAAACTGTTTCCACTTTCTCTGCTTTGTGTTTTTCTGATCCAAACAACTTTCTATTCTCTGCAATGAATACACACAACGATATAGTATTCCACTTTCTCTGCCAGTGCACTGGTACGATACGATAATACTTTATTTGTCAGATCAAGTCTGAAATTTGACTTGCGTCACAGCAGCTCCATGTCCAACATCAACAGACAAGTATCCAGACACAATACATGAAACACAAACAACAAACATTTAACATAACAGCACAATCAGTGAGAGAAAACATGCTCAAAGTGCCTTCAGCGTGCATTTGATCTGGGATTTAGCTCTGTATTTACTGTGAGGATTGACTGATGAACAAAGGAGTGCTTCAGTCTGACTTTATTGAATCGTGGGACCCTGTATCTCCGATTAGATGGCAGCAGTTCATATTCACTGTTCAGAACATGGTTTGGGTCAGAGAAGATGTTGTTGGACAGCCTCACTAGGTTGTTATGATGAGTCATAGAGTCTCTGACAGGGTTGACCAACAATCTTTGAGCAGATTTTTAACAGGTGGAGCAGTTTTGATTTTAAAGCTGCTGACAAACATTTGTACCAGGTAGTATTGCAGTACTGCAGAATAGACAAGATCACAGATGTAAAGAACAGAAGAATTTCTCTGCTCGCCCCAAAAGACCTAAGACGACTGACCCCATAAAGGCCCATGAATATTTGGTTTAACCAATCACAACGAAAAACAATTGCATAGGTGAAGACTACGGACGGCTCGTGTGAAATGTGTTTTGACTATTAATAATGTGATTAATCAAACACAATCTCAATCCCTGAACTTCCAGGAGCGACGCTTGGTCAGGGTCCTATGGCGTGCAGTTGTGACGCGCCGAGTCTCCTTCAGCTTCATAAACGGACGCAAAAAGCTTTCAACTGATTGCAATGTATTCCCATCGGTGGCGGTATTTGACGCTCAGGGAAGCACCGCATCGGTCCATGTCGGCGGCATTTAAAGGAACTCGGGCGGACGGCCCGGGGGCAAGGCAGAGTCCAAGGTGGGGGACTCGGGCGGACGGCCCGGGGGCAAGGCAGAGTCCAAGGTGGGGCGAAGGCCACAGCGGGCGAAATCAGGGGGCCGAGCATGAGGGCGAAGGCAGCGGCTCTCAGGGGGACGGGCTCGAGGGCAAAGACCGTCGCTCTCAGGGGGGCGGGCTCGAGGGCGAAGACCAGACAGCTCCGGAGGCCGGGCAGGACCCGGTGTCGGCTGAACAGGAACCAGAGCCAGTGGGACAGGCTTTGGCAGGATCCCCCATGTAAGAGGACCAGGAGTTGGCAGGACCCCCGGCGAGACAAGTGATGGCGGGGTCTCCAACGGAACAGGACAAGGGGTTGGCAGGACCCCCGGAAGAAGAGTTGATGGTGGGACCCCCAGAGGAACAGGACATAGGATTGGCAGGACCCCCGGCAGGAGAGCAGTCGGCAGGACCTCCAACGGGACAGGACATAGGGCTGGCAGGACCCCCGGCAGGAGAGTAGTCGGCGGGACCTCCAACGGGACAGGACAAAGGGTTGGCAGGACCCCCAGCGGAGCCTCCAACGTTACAGGACATAGGGCTGGCAGGACCCCTGGCAGAAGAGTAGTCGGCGGGACCCCCAACGGGACAGGACAAAGGGTTGGCAGGACCCCCGACAGGAGAGCAGTCGGCGGGATCCCCAATGGGACAGGACATGGTGCTGGGAGGAAATCCGGCGGAGCAGTAGTCGGCGGGACCCCAAACCATACTGGACGCGAAGTTGGCAGGACCCTCAGCGGAACAGGACATGTCGGCAGGTTTCCCGGCGGAACAGGTGACGGAGGGACCTCCAACAGGACACGGGGAGCTGGAGTGGGTCGGAACACCAACAGAACCCAAGGGACTGGAGTGGGCCGGAAAGCCGGAACGTGAGACAGAATCAACGCTGCTGGGGCCGGTACTGGAGTCGGAACTGGAGCTGGAACCATGGTTGCTGGGGCCGGAACAGGGGCCGGAACCATAGCTGCTGGGGCCAGAACTGGGGCTGGAACCATGGCTGCAGGGGCCAGAACTGGGGCTGAAACCATGGCTGTGTGGGCCAGTACTGGGGCCGGAACCATGGCTCTTGGGGCTCGGGCTGCTAGCCTGGAATCACTCACTGAGAGGNGTGTGATGACAATGGGAGACTTTATGGGAGTTCAGATGCTTGAGCCCAAAAATGATTTCCTCAGTTTTTCTTGGTCGTTGATCTCAAGAGCATTGTTTATCCAGTCCAATCCACCCTGATGGGACCAGCTGTTGGTGGGCAGCTCAGTGACGTCTGTGTTACTGAGCAGAGAATATTATTGCAGTTACATCAGAGTACTTAATGGATGACCTTGATTTGGTGTGTTGGTACGACAATCATCAGTGTATGTGTGTATAGTGTCTGTGTTCGGGCTCCGTGTCCCTATTTTTGTGATGGAAGATGACGGGTGTGAAGCTGACATTTGAGCGGCCCGGACCAACCAAGCAAGGAGGCAGAGGCAGAACGTCCAAAATACAACCCAGTGTGGGCATTTATTACATCATGAACACATGACACACAGCCTCAATCCTGCTGTTGCTGTGAGCACAGTCACCAGCCACAATGATCTCACACACACTGTTTCAAACAGAAAAACCCCAGAGCCTAAATGCACAACCCAACAGGACACAGGTGAGGGGGGAGCAATTAGACACAGGTGGGGGGAGGAGACAACACAGGGCACCAGGTGCACACAATCAACGGCGACAGACATGGGGAAAGGGGAACACATTTCAACATAAAATACAATAAACACTACATCAATCAATAGTATAAAATTGTATACAAATGTATGCAAAGTGAGGAAGTTACCTTCGTCACACAGGGTTCTGTTAACCTTCACGAGTTGCTCTCTACTAGTGAGGAAAGCAGCATACCAGTAAATCAGGTATGGATTTACTTCCATTTTGTTTGTTGTTCTGACTCGTAGGAATAGTTTTGTCTGCTCATAATAGGACTTTTAGTTTTTCACTCCTTAGCTTTGAATAGGGAAGTTAAACAGTGGATGCAAAACAGGACCGCGACAGAGAGTAGTCAACATCTGTTTATAGATGCCTGGTTTAGATACTACAGCACCTCACCGTGTATCCACTGTGTTGACTTGAGCAAATGTCCTCAGCTGTCCGTCCGTCTGTCCTGCTGTGTCTGAATCTCATCAGCTGCCCAGGTGCTCTCCCTCTCTGTAAAGCTGTCACATTTGGCAGGTGCTTAATGGAGCCCCAGCCTGTGCTTGCTGACTGAGCCAATCTGCCCGGCTCTATTTATACTGGAATATTTGTGCCTCTGCCAGGCTCACTCTCTTTGGTTAAATAAACCCTCACCTCTAATGTGCCCGTTTCGTGCGTGTGTGCATACAACTGTAGCGGTGTGAATGTACACACAGTGGAACAATGATTCAACTGCCTTGTTGACCCTGGCCTGGATCTAACACTGCACAAGTCACAGTGAGTAACCAGACACATTTATAAAGGGTATGAGTGTCACTGTGCACAGAGGTGTTTCAGTTTTAGACCAAATCTCTGAGCAATTGAACCATCTTGTGCTCGTGACAGTTTAATTAAAAATCCCCTCCCCCTATGCTCATGTACACACACACACACACACACACACACACACACACACACACACACACACACACACACACACACACACACACACACACACACACACACACACCAGATCATGTTGCGTTTCATCCGGTCATGTAATTGGCTGCTCCTCTCAGGAACCGACCGCCTGCTAGCTGTCTTAATCCAGTGGATTACAGTTGCACACAAACCAGCGGGGGGGCAGATCTCTCTCAGCTTGACTAGTAACAATTGGAAGCAAGAGAGACGTTATTTAGAAGAGAGCAAGCACTTAGACTTGCTCTTTTGGTGTATGTGTTTACCAGTCAGGCCGTTTTGTACCTGCCTTCTTTTTTCAAAATTTGAAAATCAACCAAGCTTTGTTGATGGGAGGCAAAGCAGTCAGTTAGATAACCTGAATTCCATTGAGCTGACTGGCCTCTGCTGCTTTACCCAGCTCTAAGTTTTTCGTAAGAGATGAGCATTTGTTTTTCAATCGCTTCTTCGGTTTTACCTTTTTAATTCAATCTTGCACAATTTATTTCCATGCACCGATCGGGATTCTGTTTTGACAAAGCTGTAGGCTTTTTCTAAACTCAGTTGTATTTTTATACACATCAGAGAAAAATATACAGTCAACTATTTATATAATAATGATCTAACTCTTTATTTATTCATACAAAACTATTTAAGAATCAGTTTCTTTACAGGCAAGCAAAGGTGTGTGTATATTATCGTTTTAGACACACCACACCTACAGACAGACAGAGAGAGAGAGAGAGAGAGAGAGACACGCTGTGCTTCTGACCCGGTCACTGTGATTACTCTGAGCAGTAAGCATGGGAATTCATTAGAATAATTGTCTTGTTAGGTTTGTTGTTCAAAATGTATTAAGGTTGTACCACAATGCCATTTTGGACTTGCAGGTGTTTCAGATTGCCAACTGCAATTGCCGTCTTTTTCAACCACACTGAAGAGCTTAACATGAGGGCTGTTACTTCACATGTTGTTTGTTTATAAGTTTGAAGTGTTTGGAGCTTTTTTTATTCTTCATGAAAAAATTGCATGAATATTACTGTCTTTATTTAAAGCTCCAAACACTTTAAACTCTGACGCTGTTGAATCCCAGGGTCGAGACCACATCTCTGGACTTTCTGGGAGCAGCCTCTTCCTCCACTCTTAACATCCACAGCATGTACTTTGTGTTTCCATGAATGTCCTCACAGGGGTTATGTCTAACTTACAGTACTAACCATCTTAGCTTACATCAGTCCTGTGTTTTTTGTTTACGTTTTCTATGTTCTCATCAACCATCCTCATCATTCTATCCTCGCCGCCCTCCTCCGACCCTCTCCGCTCAGCTGCCAGACGACACCCTGACCCCGACAAACACCGGCGTCACAAATCCAGTTCCCCAGGCCGACATGATGCTTATGCTCCAGTGAGCTCACATCGTGATTACTCCCCTGAATATAGCTCAACGCAGCCCAAAAGGAGCAGGGACCCAAGACAGGACCCAGCGGCACCCCACAGCCGCTCCCGATACCCCGAGCATCCCCTAGTGGCCGAAGGAGGGCGGAGCAGGCACGCAGACCCTTACCCAGAGCACCTGCTGCCCTCTAAAGGCAAGCATGGGGACAGGTACCCAGAGTATGAGCCCACAGAAAATGGAAGAGCCAGGGGAGAAGTGGGGGACGACACAGTGGTCAGGAGGAAGGAGAAACCGGGTAGACCACCTCCACCACAGAGCACCATAGAGAGAGACAGAAAAAAAGACAGGCAGCATGACCGAGACAGGGGCAGAGACCTGGACTTGGAGAGACACATGGTGAAAGATCAGAGGAGAGAGCAGGACCTCAGGGGGGCGAGAGCAGGAGGAAGAGAGGATGAAAGACAGAGAGAGAGAGACAGGCCGAGACAGAAAGACAAAGACAGACAACGAGTAAGAACAATGAGCAGGGAGAGAGGATTCGAAGAGGATCCGGGGCACAGCAGGGACCGGCCGAGGGAGGGCAAGGCGTCATGGGAGGAGGAAGTGGAAGAGAGGGAGAGGAGGGCCGGGGTCCGGCTGCGTGTCCACTCCGGCCCCGAAGATGTGTTTGATGATCTGGAGTTGGAGGGCGGGGGTCCTGGCAGTAATTCTCGCTCCAACGGAGAGACAGGTACCGCCCTGAGCCCCCCTCCCCTTGGGCTCTGCGGGGGAGTTTGTGTGGTGTGCGGCTTCTTGCTTTCAGGTGGTGGGTTCATCTAACTTTGCAATCGCTAACAAAGACACTGATTTCCTCCCTTCTCATGCGGACCACCACAGTCACTTCTGAAGACTGATGTGATTCAAATGATGGTTTGAAATGATTTGTTGTCGTGCTGTGGGGTTTTTTCATTCTTGTAACGTGTGCTGGGTTGTTGCCGTGAGCAATGAAATGATTACACTGATATTTTGTGTGTTGTGATTTTGTCGTAGATTAGTTAATTTATTTTGATGACCTCAAATCTGGTTTTCTCAAAGGGTTTCAGGGCTGCTGAGCTGGTTGTATTATCCCAAAAATGGTAAAAACATTTAACCAAACACACTGACACCAGCAGAGACGCACTGCAGCCCTTTGCGGTGCCTCACCACTTCAATACAGCTATAATTGAATTACTCGATCAGTCAGAAAATTATTTTCATGAATTGAATAACTCAATTTGTCATTACTTAAAGGTGGGGTAGGTAATTCACTTCAGAAACACTTTTTGTTATATTCCATGGAATGCTCTTAACATCCCGATAGCAATGAATACATGAAATGCTTTGACAATAAATACTGTGGATCTGTGGCGCTGTAAAAAGCACGACCAATCATTTTAGCCGGCCCGGCGAAAATAACTGGATGGCCTACCTGCCTGTCAGCCTTCCATCTGTGCACAAACTTATCTCGTGCCCTCATTGGTCATGTGCGCGTTCGTGTGTGTTGGAGGAGGGGCTCTGTAAGGAAGTCTGAAGGAAGAGGCAGATTTATTTCGACTGCGTACTTTCAAATTCTAGCGCACTCGAGCTGGTTTCTCCATTCTTACCTACTCTACCTTTTAGAAAAATGTCCAAAAAACAATCAGGATAAAAATGTATTAGAATAAATAATTAAAATATAAAATATGCTGATTATTTGAAGATGGAAAGAATCA